TAAATTAAATGTAGAAATTTACTATTTAGGCCTCGTTATAATACAAACTGAAATCAAATGGTAATTTTTTTATCTTTAGAAACTAAAAAAAAAAAAAAACTCCTAAATCCTGCATTAGCAAAGTAAGAGGGTGGAGGAGGTTATAGAAAATAAGAATGCGTCTATGAAAAAATTGGAGCCAAATGCACAGAAGGAAAATAGGAAAGAATGTGCACTCTGGCATGATAAATATAAGAACACAACAAATCAAACCAAAAAGGTTTTTTACAGCGTAACCTCTAAGAGGCATTAAATAAAGAAAAGAATAATAAATCATTTCCCAAAAAGGGAAGCTTTTCAGAAACCATGGAGCCAATAGATGATCAAGGTATATTAAAAGACTTGCTGAAGGAGGTAAGGTGAGAGTAGAAGATCTCAGTGAGTATTTTGTGCTACAGAGGCCCTTAGGGTTGTTCTCATGATGGAAATTTCCTTCAAGGGGAATGATAGGGAAGATCACTCTCAAAGCAAAGTGCTAGCTGAAGGGGTTATAGAAAAAAATGAGCATCATATCAGTTCAAGATAAAATTCACTGAAGAGTTGTAAAAGAACCCAAAAATGAAATAGTTTGAAGTACTCGTAAAGGGATGTGCTCATAAATTCAGCTGTAAAATTGCCTTTATATCAAAAGAATGGAAAATTGTGACGTGGTGCCATTTTAAAAATTGTTCCAAGGGTGATCTACTGGTCTATAGACCAGTAAATATGATGTTCTTATAGGAAAAAATGGCAGAAATGATAAGAAGGAATTAATTAGTGGATTCATGGACAAATATGGCAAAAGTCAGTGTGGAACCTAAAATGGAAAATCATTCCTCTCAAAACTGTTATATTTCAGGTCTAGTTTGAAGGATTCACAGAGCACATGCTCAAGGGACATCAGGTTGAAATTGCCTACTGGGCGTTTGCTGAGGTCTCGCAGAAAAAGTACCAAAGAAATTAACCTTCCATGGGATAAGAGGGAAGATCCTCGTATGGATAAATAGCTATAAGTAGTTGTTCAGGATAGCAGAAGTCAAAGGTGACTGTGAAGAAGCACAATAACCTGACAATGCTGAGTGACTGGATGATAAATTGGGAGATGAAATGCAATGTACATAAACATAAAGTTGTATATGTGGTGAAGAAAAATCTTAGCATGCTGAAGGGCTGGAGTGGCTGATGACATTTAAGTTCAGTATAGTATGACCTTTCATATGCTCCTGTATATTGCAGTTGCCATAGGATAAATTTCCAAAAATTGTTCTGTCTGATCTTAAAATGATTGATTTAGGAGGTGCAAAATACTTTCCAAATATTTTTGTATGCACCATCTGGGCTTGAGAGTAATCCATCTGTCCTCTGGAACAGAGAAGATACCACCACCTGCACAGAACCTCCTCTGAAAGCTCTTATACTAGTGTATCATATGAACAATTCAGCGTGGGGATCCAGAAAGGCAGCAGTGTGAAGAAACCCAGCAACCTAGCATCAGAAAGAGTAACCACTATGAGTTAATAAAAGCATTAACAGAACCCGGCCTAGCGTTATTAGGAAGAAAGGAGAAAATTCCTATTTACTGGAAACATTAGTAGAAACTTCAGCTCTCAATGTGTGTGCACAGGTATAAGAGAAGAGTGGTATGTGGGGAATCCTTCCACATTGTGTACCCATACAGGAAAAAAGACAATAAATTTGTCCCATTTCACATGACAATGCTTTATATTTGTCTGTGCACACACCATATTGACGCTGTTATGATTGAGATAAAGATGGAGCAGAAGAGACTCGTCACATTTCATTTTAGTAAAGTGACCTTCAAGTTGCATCTGTGTTCTTTGAAGACTTTGAAAATTTACAAAAGAAAAGCTACGGCCTTGGGTGAAAAAAAAAACCCCAATAACGACAAAGCCAAAGGTAAGGGGATTATGCCTTATACAAAAATTATTATATGACCTATGCAGAATGTGTTCTATTAGGATGTAACAGATCCACTGAAATATATGGGACTAGATTTAATTTTGATAAGTTGCAAATTCTGGGAGATGGTCCTCTGCCTGTGATGAACACTAAGAACATATTTACTGATTGAGAAGCCACAGAATTAACTGCTGCTTATTGTAAGGGCCTTGAGCTGGAAACTGATCTCACTGCTAGTCAGTCCTTTAAGGCCCTTTGTTGCACGGAGTTGGGGACATTCATAAAAATGAAGCTAGGGATAGAGATAGCTGTAGGGCTAGTATTTACAAATCCAGAGGCTCGGTAGCTCAGGTAATTTCTGCATGAGTCAGATCTCTCTCAGTAGAAAAAGAGGCTAACGTCAGCTGGACACCATTCTTTCTTTTTCCTTTTATCGTATGGATTGGTGTCTTACTAGAACAATGATGTCAAGTGTTGCAGTTAGTGTTATGGTTTGTGAAGTTCACAGCCAAGAGCTGCATGTTGCAGTACCCTCCATGTTAAGGGATTAGATTAATGTGGTAGGAGCCAGTTCTTTATTTCCCTCTCAGTTCCCTCTCAGTGAGTGGATCCTATCCCTGAGATATATGTTAATGGTATGTGAGGGGCTAGGGATCTACCCAGTCTGCAGTCCATGTTGCTGTTGCACAGAACAGTTTGGGAGTCAGGAAGAACGACAGGATAAATAGTGGCTGTCATGTCCCTTATTGTATAGCCGTGTGACTTGTTCCTTCCAAAAGCATAGGCTGCTTATAGTTTATAGTCTACGTATTTATTGGCCTGAGGACCTGTTATGTAATGGGCTTAATCCTCTTCCTAACTGTGCAGCCTTTCCAACATGCTCTGCCCTAGCTCAGAGGGTTCATGTACAGCATTGGACATATATGGGGAATGACAAAAGAAAGGAATGATTCAGATCCAGCTGAGCCCTCTTCCTAGTCCTCCAACCCTTCCAACATGCATCACACACTGAGGACCCTGAGGTTGTACATTCCCTAACCCTAAGCTTAACTCAAAGTGTTCAGGTGCAAGGTTCACATTGCTTATGGTGCAAATATATGAGTAAAGAAATTATGGACCAGATCAGTCTTAGCCCTGTTCTTACTCTTACAGCCTCTGGTATGAACCGCACATGCCTTATGAAGCTGTTCTTTCCCAAACTCTAAACCTGTCCAACACTCTACCCATAAGATTAGGTGTTTGGTACATAATTTCCATAGACAGTGAAAGAAGAAAAATAGTTGATCCAAATCTATTATACCCTTCCTCTAAGATGAACCATTGCTCTGGGCACAAGAATTTGATCTTTCCCAAACTGTGATATAGGTCTGTGCCTGTCCCAGCATCTCAACATTAGGTGTGGCATGGTCCAGATAGTACATGTAATTGTTGAACATGGGCAGATATAATACTTCTCCATAAGTTAGAGGATCCTCCAATGTTCAGAAGAATATTGGCCTCCTGAAGCTACTTTCTCTAGCTGTATCTCACTTCATACTAGGTTACTGTAAATGTCGTTTGAAGTGTTCAGACCCCAAAAAGGACAAAAGCTCTCACCAGACAAGTTGTTTTTCCTCTTGGTAGTGACCTGCATAATTCACCTACTCCCTGGTGTATGATGTCATTGGATCAGAAGATGAGAAAGACATTCCTACACTTATATATAACCCAAGCATATTCTCAGAATGGGTCGCATTCCTCCACAATAAGAAGATGTAAGCACCACACGTCTGATACTGTGCCTCTGCTAGCTTCTTTCTCCTTTGAAGAAGAATCACAATTTATTAGTCTTTCTAATTTCAAATAATATTCCTTTTAGGATTAATGAGAGAGGGAGAGAGGGCCTTTCAAGTAAATGAAACAGAAAAGGAAGAACTGGCTCTAAAGGAAATTATTCCTTTTCTTACCTCAGAGGGATCTCCAAAATGAATCAGTTACCTGACCTCCTATCCTTCCCAAACCTAGGCTTTCCTACACTTCTGTGCTTCCCCAAGCCCTAATCCTAACCATAAGGTTACATATTAGGTGGAGAATGCATCAGGGAATGAAAAAGGAAAAATGTTGGCTAAAACTGACATTAAGGCTCTTTCTAAATCCAAGCTCCCTCCAAGATAAACAATAACCTGGTGTCTTGAAACAGTACTTCCCAAACACTAGCTTAAGCCTAAAGTGCGTGTTAATGCTGACCCTTGGATCAAATTTACATATGTAAAGGGTCTCCAATCTCTGTCTTAGCAAAGAAAGAAACAAGAAGATCCTTACGTATTAAGCCCAGTGCTAAAGTGCATTTGTTATGCAGCAGTTCTCCAGGCGACTCTGCCAGTATACAGTATGACTCCAGCTCTCCCAGTTACTTTAATTATTTAAACAGATTCCACTGTTTCACAATAGGGACTTATAAATGCTAATCAGCTTTGACCTGAGCCATTTTTCATAATTTAATAGGTTATAGAAATATTGGAAGGTATCTCTGAAGCTCACTGAATCCCATCTCCTGCTTAAAGGAGAGCTAACTTCAATGCTGGATTCAGTTTCTTAGGGACTTATCCTGCTGAGTTTTGGATTCATCCAAGGACAGAGATTTCACAGCCTCTCTGGGCACATGTTCCAGAGGCCATTTAACCGCTCTCGCTTGTAAAAGAAAAGTTTTCCTTATGTGAAATTTGAATTTCCCTTGCTGCACCTTGTAACTGTTCTCTCTCATCCTCACAATGTGCAGATCCCAAATGAGTCTGCTCTGTCTGTAGTGCAATACATCAATTAGATCCCCTTTAGCATCCTATCCTCCAGGCTAAAACTTCCTCCTGTTTCACCTTTTACATTGTGTGCTCCAGCCTTCTAATCATCCTGATGGCCCTCTACTGAACTTCCCCAGTTTCTCAATGTCTTTCTTGTATGGGGAGGCTGAAACCTGGACACAGAACTGCAGGGAACAAAGAACAAGGTCATTCATTCTTATTCTTAGTATGAGAAAAAATAATTTTTTCATTAAACAAATTCAAACATAACTGAAACTTCTTGGCTGATATATTTCAATCATATTGACAAAAAGGGTGATATCCAAAAGGGCAGTTACCCAAATAGCTGAAGTCAGTCCAAATTAAAAGCAAATACAATGTGATTTCAAAAAATTGCACGTGAGGTAATCGTCTCTTTTGGCTGTACTACTGTCTTTATCTTTGAAAAGGAAGAAAGCAAAGAAAGCCTAAGAGTTATATCAGAATGTACAGAAGTATATACTGTTGTCTGAGCTGAGAAATACACTTGCAAATTCCTTATTTTACTTTGGTTATTTAATTACTTCAGCAACTAATATTATGTCTTCAGTTTCCGGTGTTATGGACTGCATTTTGCACTCAGTCTGCAGAAAATAAAATAAAATAAAAGCTTCCATTAGTTTTATAAATAAGCATAGCGTCTACTTACTTATTTGTAATTCTGAGAGTATTTCAATATTTGTTGCATATTTTATAAATATTTCACTTCTTTATTTCTTAGCTAGTAAGCTTCCTCAGCAGGATATAACAGTCACATTTCAGCCTCTACATAACGCAGGCACATGGGTTTTGACTAGCCTGAGCGTGGGCAAGGAGGACTTGTGTTTTTCTCTAGTGCACCGTGCAGATTATTGCAAATCATCTCAAATAAATTAAAAGAAAAGGGTTAACTTTGTTAAGCTATTCAGGCAGATGACTATGCCTTGGCCTGAGGTTTAGCTACCTGAACAGACCATGAGAAATTACCAGACATGACACGAGAAGTTACTGGAAAATAAAAGGGATGGTTAGATGTAGGAGAGCTGCTGGTCAATAAGCTTGTCTGCTCAAACCATATGCCTGATCACTGCAATCTCCGCTATGATCTTACAAAATCCTATTCTTAGCTACTTTCTGTGTCACCTTCCTCTCTATCCCGTATATATCCTCTAGTGACCTTCAGGCTGGACTAGCTGGTGAGTAGGAGGAGACCCACACTTGGAATAACCAAGGTCAGGGCCAGTGAGTGGGTCAGGGTCCTGGGGTTGGGGCACGGGCGGTGAGCAGGGGGACTTATAGCTAAGGTCATATTGGAGGTACCTGTGCCTGTGGGGTGTTGCGTGTGCAGAGAACGAAGGTGTATTCACGCTTCCCAGGTGAACTTCAGCCTTGCTCAGCTGACGAACAGCAGAAGGAACAGGCCGTCTACCTCTCTGCTTATGTGAGTGCTGTCGGTGCTCATGTGGTGCCAGTAAAGGCGCAGGTGCCGATCTGTGTGGCTGGCCATGTCAGTGCCCTGTGTGTGTGCATTTGTGTGTGTGTGTGTATGCGTGTGTGTGTGTCTTGTATTGGCAATACACACTCAGCATTGCTGCTGGCTGGACCTACAAATGGAACAAGCAATACCTGCATCTTTTGGACTGGCATGAGAGAAACCCCCTGGGTCTGGAAGTGCACTGGATTTGGCCTCCCTTAACAAACTAACCTGCTGATTTTCTCTTGTAATTCCCCGATATATGGCAGTTACTCTCTGTATTAAGCTATTTATCATTTAAGCAATACCTTTTAAACTGCAGTAGAGCCTTGAATTTCATACATTTTGTATAAATAGAAAGAAAAGATACCTCTAAATTTGTATCAGGCAGTAGATGAAATGCATTTTTTGGCTCTGGGATTTGTGGAAATGCTACTTTCCAATAGCTAGTCCTGGAGATCAAAAAGGGATGGAATAGAAAAGAACAAATAAATAACCGTTATGTATCAAAGCCATTGCATCCTTGAATAAACTCTTATCTTCGTCTTCTAGGGTAGAAGAAATGGAAGAGAAATATATATATATAAATATATATAGAGAGTTTCATCACAGAATGAACGTTGTTCAGGAAAACACTAGGAATTGCAGTGACTCTTGCAAAATCTATGCTGGAAAGGATAATCAACCTGTGTGTTTGCAATAAATTCAGCACTTCAAGGAATCAGGAGATGTACTGTGCAGACAGTATACCCTACAAATATTTCGACCTATTGCACTGCTAATATGAGTAACTGCATATAAGTGTTCTCCTTGCCATGTTAACAGAAGAGGGCCCTGTGGAAGAGTGAGGGAGAAACTTTGGGCATTACAGTTACAGCACCTGCAGTACCACACCTCTGGTTTGGTTTCCGCTGCAGTGTGAGTAAAAAGTACTCACACTCTGTACTACAGAGACACCTCTACCGTATTTGTTTGCTTAAGAACTTCATACGTGTTTCATACACACAGGCAAAACAAAATAAATGCATAAATTAGGCCTACCTTTTACAGAACAAAATTGTGAGGATTGCCACTAAGACTGTTGCAACTACAGTCAGAAGTAAGGCCAATACTGAAGGAGAAATAACTTCTTCATTTCCTGAAAGAGTAGCAGTTACAGTGTCTTAATGTAGTAAAAAGGAATAGTTACGTAGCTATGTCAAACACCTTCATTGGTTACTGACTGCTGGGTGTCAGTCTGAAAGGTTTCTGTTGTAATATAAAACAGCTCTCTAACTTAGTGCTTAAGCAGTAATATATGCTGGCAGAGATTAACATTGAGCCTATTCGTTCATCTCCTGCAATAAACATTTACTGTGGTTTCACTTAGACCTGTATACATTTTATATTGTTTTCGAACCACCAGAATGTTTGAGTATTAAGAGATGTACAAATACTCTCTCTTCTTTTCTTCCTAGCAGTGTAGATCGAAACAAAATGTTTGTATATTGTTTATATTTTTGTGTGCTAATAGGTGCAAAGCAATGTATTAGGTAGACAGGAAATAAGTGGGGAAAACTAGGCCAAATAATTGGTTTGCATTCTTACCAAATCCAAGAGGTGCACTCCACTTCCCCCAGGCTGTGTTTACAAGACAGCCGCTGCCAGCTGCTCTGATTTTCACAAAATACCTCTTTCTCATATTGAAATTTTCAAACGTATAGTAATTTTTCCTTTCCTAAAAGCAAAACAATTAAACTGATTAAACTGAGTTTTTCCTTATTGCAGGTCTAGCTGTTAATAGTGTGAAAGTTTCACTTACCAGTGAGTCTTCACAAGCTTATGAGAGCAGACTGGTGTTATAGAGCAAAATATAAATGTATGTCCCTTTTATTATGCATATAATATCCATATATCCATGTATCTCCTTTCCAAAATAACCTGTCCCTCAGTAAACTTTTTCAGTTTAGAAGCTTTTTTGTCTTTAACATTGTATCCTGTAATTTCTGATGCTATAGTATGACTTCTTTCATAGTTTTCCTTTCATATGGCACCCTCACAGAGGCAGAAGAAGCTGTTAGACTGTCTCATTTCAGTACTGCTAGAATTGAGTGATGTGAGGAATAAACAGCCTGCAAGCACCTCACGTTCCTCATGTGCATTATAACTTTTCAAGACAATCATAAATTCCCATCCAAACCTGTAAAATTTGTAGATTTCAATATGTAGAGTTATTAGAAATTACTGAAACATGTTTACTTTTGGATACTTTCAGGATAGATATGCAAGCTGCACTGATTAAAAGGAGGTGCAGGACACCCGGAGAACAGCATACATGGATTCCCTTCCTGCAGGACTTTTAGTGTCTTTGTTTTTCATAAATAGCTAAATTGCTGGGGGATGTTTTCTCTGTATCGCTTGTCTCTGCTGTCATTGACATGTAACTTCAAATTATGATCAAATGTTTGAGGGGCAGCAGGGACAGTAAGGTGTAAAACTGAAGCTTTTTCAAAATACCTAGAGAATAATTATAAAGTTCTGTCTTTGAATATATGATAATGTCACATAACCATTATAATGCTTTATCAATTTGAAACGTTTAAGAAATTTATAAATAAAGATCTCATAAAGCATAGCATGTTGAGTGCTGTTATACTGATATTAAAAGCTTTTGCATATGATTTACTTTTCACATGACTATGAAGCCAACATGTATTACTGATAAATAGAACAGGAACACTTACTATTATATAAGTATCTTTGGTCTTTTCCTCAGCATTAGCCTGCAAATTGAAAAAACACTTTATGTTTATGATCGTTTATTCTGTGATTAGATTATAAGTCATGTTTTATCCACTATCTTCTTTCACCCCATGCTCTTTCTTATCTCCTTGACATTTTGTTCAGAACTGGTGATTTATCTCAGATTTAAGGTCTAATGTATAGTTCTTTCACAATGCCAAGTTTATATAGTGAGCAATTCTGCTATGGAAAAGTGTTTATTTTCCTTACCACCAGAGTAGAGAAATAAATTTTCTTTCAGATTGGTGATTGAACTGAAACACAAGCAAAACAGACCTGGTCTGAATCAAAACTATAGCTTTATTGCTGCATATACCCCGAAAAATAAATAAATAAAATAAAAGAGAGAGAGAGCGAGAGAGAGAGAGCGAGAGAGAAATCTATGAGATAAAACCTTTAGTTTATGCATAGTATTTATATTTAAAAAGTAATTATTTCATTACTTTTAGTTACAAATGTTTTGTAAATATTGTTTCCTTTTCTCTTGGATGAAACGTTCTGAAAGTGACATGAGTTCACATATTTTAAGCTGTCCTTTAACAACATTTTTTGTAGAGACAGTAAAATTCACTCATTTCCCTTGAACAGCTGTAACAACTGCAATGTAATGTAGTGACCACACAGCTAATTACTGGCAAACTATATCTTCTTCTCCATTAGCTTGTCAGAGTATGATTTTTTTTGAGTTCTACCTTCCTGCATTTAAAAATAAAAATAAAGAAATACAAACATTTTTGTCAAATAACTGCAGGCATTCGCATGTGCCCCTGGCTATAAGTTTGCAAGGCATGCTGCAATAAAAAACACTAGTTTCTAGAATTTCTAAACCAGCTACTTTAAGCACTGGAATCAGTCTAGGAAAAAGTGGAACAATATGCCCTCCTGTTTTATGTTTTTCTAAGATAATATGTGAGAAATTTAAATAACGATGTCATGGAAGACTTCAGAAAGTGGAATTCTAGAAGGATAGCTGATCTTTTGGAAATTTTGGAAAAAGAGATATATTTAAGAATGTTATCTTTAAAAGACGAAAGAGAAAAAGTATGCAACAGTCGTAGGGGACTTTCTCCTGTGGGGGACACAGTCGCTAATCTGCTGACCTGACCTGAGGGAGGTTTGTTGTTTGCCAGGTGCCAGGGCCCAGGATGTTGCAGAGGGACTGCCAAGGCTTTTCTGACCCTTGAACTGCTTTTCTGTGTGAGCGCTGGTGATATTACCAGGGTAATCTAAAGGGTTTCACAAATGATAACAGAGCTCTGGGGATGAGGGTGAAGGGCGGGGGCCTGGGTGGTGTTTACTCAATCCTGCTGATGGGAGAGAAAGTCTTGAGCAGAAGTGAACTGGTCCAGCAGGTCAATGCCTGGCTGCGTGGCTTCTGTGGTGTTGGGACTGCCTGAGAAACGAGGGCTCCTGAACGGGGACAGGATACATCTCACCAAGCTGGGCTAGAGTGTCCTGGCAAACAGGCTTGCTAAACCAGTGAGGAGGGCTTTAAAATAGGTATATGGGGAAGGCTTACAGTAACCAGAAGAGCAGAGAGGGAACAAAGGACAAACTAGAGGACAGCATGACAAGGGAGGCTCTCAAACCTCCTGTGTAAAAGCTGCATGACTTGAGGCCTGTCTCAAAGGCTTGTGCTAAAATCTACATTGCATGGGGAACAAGCACAGGACAAGTTAGAAGTCTGTGCGCAGCTCAAGAGCCATGAGCTCATTAGGATTACGGAGGTATGATGGGATAGATCTCATGGCTGGAATGCTGCAACGGATGGACACAGGCTTTTCAGGAACGGTAGAGTGGGAAGGTGAAGAGAAGTGGTTGCGCTCTCTGTAAAGGAGTGGCTTGAATACATGCAGCTTTTTCTTGGGAAAAGTGATGAACTAGGAAGAGAGCTGGTGGGAAAGGATCAGCAAATAGATGAAAACAGATGACAATGTGGTAGATAAATGCTGTAGACCGCTTGGTCAAGAAGAAGAGGTGGATGAAGCATTCTCTAGGCAACAGGAGAAAGCCTTCCAGTCACAGGCCCTGGTACTCATGGGAAACTACCCTGGATGGCAAAGAAGCCCAGGAGAACTGGCTGATCTTCATGGGCAGCCTCCTCAGAGCACAAGAATGGTCTATTCCAGCATGCAGAAAGTTGAGCAAGTGTGGCAGAAGGCCAGCATGGATGGACATGAAGTTCCTGATTGAGCTCCAGCACAAAAAGGAAGTAGAGAGAAGGTGGAAACAGGCATCTGGGAGGAATGCAGAGTCATTGCCTGCACAGGCATGAATGCGGTTAGCAAAGCCAAAGCTCAGCTGGAGTTGAAACGAGCAAGGGAGGTGAACACAGCATAAAAGGTTTCTGTAAGTACATGGGCAGCAAAGGGGAAGTAAAGGAGAATGCCGGCCCATTGCTCAGAACCTAACGATAAAGGACATGGAAAAAGCTGAGCTACCAGTGCCTTTTTAATCTCAGTTTTCACTGGTGAGGTTTGCCATCAGGCCTTACAGTCCTTGAGACTCCCACTAGAATCTATGGGAGTGAAGCGGTATCCACAGTAGACAAAAACAGAATTTGAAATTGCTTAGTCCTTTTAGATGCACGTAAGTCCATGAGACCAGATGTGATGCATATGAGGGTGCTGAAGGAACTGGTAGATGTCCTTGTGAGGCTTTTCTCATCTTTGAAAGGTCATGGCAATTGAGGGAGATTCCTGATAACTGGAAAAAGGCAAGCATCACACTCGTCTTAAAGAATGGCAAGAAGGAGGTTGCAGGGAACTACAGTCACCCTCATCTCAATCCCTGGGAAGGCTGTGGAGCAAATCCTCTTGGAAGCCATATCTAAACATACAAAGTGTAGAAAGGTGATTAAAAGCAGCCAGCCAGCACATGTTTGCCAAGGGCAAATCATGCCTGACCAATCCGATTGCTTCCTGTGATGAGATGACTGGCACTGTGGACAAGAAGGTAGGTATGTTGTATAACTTGACTTTAGCAAGGCCTTTAACTCACCCTTCCACAGTCTCCTTTTCAGCAAGCTGGTGAGAAATGAGCTGCATAAGTGGACAATAAGATGGGTGGAAAATTGGCTGAACTGCCCAGCTCAAAGAATTGTAATCAATGGTGCAAAGTCCACCTGGTGTGCAGTAACTAGTATGGTCCCTCAGGGATCAGTACTAGGACCAATACTATCCACTAGCTTCATTAATGACATGGATGATGTAACACAGCACACCCTCAGCAAGCTTGAGGCCAGTACCAAATTTGAGGGAGCAATCAATATGCTAGAGAGCATGGCTGCTACTCAGAGGGACCTGGATAGGCTGGGGAAATGCACTAGCAGAAACTTCATGAAATTCAACAGGTGCATGTACAAGGTCTTGCATCTGGGAAGAATAACCTCATGCAGCAGGATGCTCTAGAGGCTGACTGCCTAGGAAGCAGCTCTGCAGAGAAGGGTTCGAGGGTCCGGGTGGACAAGTTGACCATGAGGCAGCAATGTACCCTCGCAGCAACGAAGGCTAACTGCATCAGGGCTGTATTAGTAGGGATTTAGCCAGGTGGTCCAGGAAAGTCATCCTTCCCCTTTGTTTGGTACTTGTGTGACTGCACCTGGAGTACTATGTCCAGTTTTGGGCTCCCCTATTTTGGACTCTAAAATTGCATGTTCTTCATTGTACGCTTTCCATTTGTTTTAGAATTTTCCCAGGCCATTTGCTGTTTGATTCACCTATTTGAGCATGGGACTTAGTGAGAGGGGTGGGTGTCATTTCACTTCCATCTTCATTGAATAAGTTGGCTAAACACTCTTAACTGTCAAGAGAAAGACATTTTAAGGCTTATTTTCTCTCATGCTAAAGTAAATATCTAAAGTAGGCCAGTTAAACTACACAAATATCCTTCTATTTACTTAAAAGCAACTCTAGTAAGCTATCCCAAACACAGACAACCACATTACAGACAGCTGAAATTAAAAGAGACGAATTCCACTCACTACAATTAAGAGCAGATTAGAAAAGCTAACATGCATTTTAAATACTAGATCATTCTAATTTCCTTTTGCACTACATAATATTGTTAACAAAATAAAAACACTCAAGACTGTGATGGTGCTTGAGTTTAGCTACACAATTTGTCCAAATGCTTACATTGTGTGGCCAGATCTACAATCTAGAAATGAACTTGGTGAGTGGTTAACAGGGATACTAGACCAAGCACCACTTAAGAGACAAAACAGTGACAATTATTTTGTAGTAGAGATCATCTGAAGGCAGAATTCACTACATAACTGCTGTTAAGACTCATAAAAAATGGGCTATAGGCTGCTTAAGAGACTTTAATGATCATAAAAAGACAACAAAGGGCACATTTGTTTCATAGAGTATATCCTGATATGCAGCAGACAAAGACTTCAATAAGTATTTCAAGATTTCAAGAAGCTTTACTGCAATTGCACGCTTATGCAAAGGTGGTGCAAACTTTCCTGTAAGCAGAAGTAGTGAAGTTTTATAGCAATTAGTTGGGCCTGGGAGAAAATTCACCTATGAGAGGGTAAGACCTATCCAAACTAAGCAGTTTCAAATAACAAATCCAGGGAATGCCTTGGATCGGTGGCCAAGGCTGGCTGCAGTACAGGCAGGTTTTGCTTTGTAGTCCCTCTCTGCCATCCTGTGGTCATTTGATACAGTTCTTCCCCAGTTACAGTAGCTAATGTCTACTGTTTTAGCAAAGAAACACAGCAACCTATCATTCCATATTGTTTCAAAAAGACTTTTAAAATCAACATTTGAGACAAAAACAGGTAATAAAAGTTGGGGCAGTACATGGTAAGGTACAAGAATGGGAGCACCACAGAGAAATATGGTATTACATATGAGAAAGGCTACACTGTAAAAGAGAAAGATTTCCCTGATATGTATGTGTATAGGTAAATGGAAACATATATATTAATGTTAAATATAGGTCGAGGAACTCCTCTTACCTTATGCTTTATGTCAACTTCATATTTAAAACACTTGTCTTTGCTAGAATGACTTATCTGGGGTCGTTCCCATTTAATTATGCAATCTTTTTGAATGCCGTCACAGTTGGCAGTGACATTTAATGGAGGCATGAGCTCTTCTGAAATGATATGACCAAGAGTGCAATTAAAATCATTTTAATCTCTTTTCACGCTAATAAAAGAGAATGCAATTGCAGGTACCACATCTACAAAGAAAGATACTTATTTGTATCTATTCTCCTTAGAAGCTCTGTTAGATATAACTGAAAGATCGGAGTTCTTCAGATCCTGTCTTCAGGATCAGAAAAAACAGGGACTAAGCCAGGGAACCTGACTTAGGAGCATACCAAGATACAAAGCTCCTCCATTCACTTTGGAAAACACTTACGTAGACTTCCTTCTTCTTTTCATGAGGAAGTTCCTTAGTAGGGAAAAACTAGCTGATGCTGAGAAATACAAAGGACTTTTCTTTCTTCGGGCCTCCTCACCCAATGCTTCTGTAACATGAAGGTGTGGCTTGTTTGGTGTTGTAAACTAACTACGTAGTTTAATCCCCCTTCAAAATTAGCTATTAAATTACACATTTAAGAATGGAGCTTAAATTTTTAGAATCTGGCCAACTTCTGCACGCATCTGCTGTAGGTGTAGGCACAAATATGGAGACTTTATATTTTGATCACCCTCAAGGACATGATGCTTATTATAAAGACGAAAGACAGTCACTGGTTGCAAAAAGGGTGATAAAAGGCTGAGAGAGGAAACCTCAGTTTCAGCTAGTCTACCTTTTATTGATTCCTAGGGGCTGGATTGGGCTATTTGGACTGTCACTGTAGGGGATAGTGAGGTCCTGTCCTTCTGTTTGTGTTGATCTGTTTGTGGCTGTATCGTGCATGTGTGCACACCTATTTGGCATTCTCACTCAGCCCCACTGCCAGCAGGGCCTGGAAAGGGGGATGTGGAGCAGCTGTACCCCTCTACTGGCCCAGGACCAGAGAGATCTGGTCCTGCAGTCCACCAGATTTGGCTACTCTTACCAGCACCAATCAATGAACAGTCGTGTTTCATCTCCTGTGAAGAAATGCTATCCCTTAATTCCTTCTCCTTATAGAACTAAGCCTTGTTTGTCCATTTTTTTGAATACAACACCAGAAACAGTGAGGCTTTGGCAAATCAGTTGATTCATTTTCATAGTAAATGTACAGGATGCTCCTCCCAAGTACAGCACCATACAGAGTGTGTGAAAACCTGTGGTGCTTTGTATACATAATCATCTCTCTAGTCGAGGGTATGTTGTCCATGGCTGCCATGCCCACTGGCAACGAGAAGGGGGAATCAGTGCTCAGATAAGCTTCTTCTGACACGTCTCCTCAGCTGAAAGATTTTTGGCCATCACTGAAAGGATAGAGGTGTGGAATGAAATCTCTGACCTCCTGAGGTTCTTACTGGAGAAAAACTTAAAAATAAGAAGAGTGGTGCCACATAGATTTATCCTTCCTCTATGGAAAGGCTTTTGGTGCTGAAGAAGCCATGACAGATTGTAGCTATAGATATTTCTTGATTGATTGCACTCATGACTTTTTGACTTAAGGAACAGATTTTCTGGAACAGTTTCTCTCTTTTGACTTTAGGTCTAAGGTGGACACTTGGTTCTCTCACAGGTGATTTATCACCTGGAATTAAGTGACTATGTCCATCTTGAACAGAAAATTTGCAATTGCAAACTATACTCTTCTCCAAACCCAATGTGAAGGCTGTTCAATACAAGTTGAGCCATGGAGTCAGTACACATAAGAAGGGATGGAAAAGCAATGACTAGAAAGAAAACCTCTGTCCAAAGTATTAAAATTTGAAGAAGTAAAACAAGCAAGGCAGAAATTCAAGCTATAGTAAAAGAACTACTGCAAAAATAAAAGTAATGATATACTATGTCTCAAAATAGGGAGACAGAAACGCTGACGAGAATAAATAATTGAAAGTAATTTGAACAAAGAGGCATACACTGCCCCTTTTGTCATTGCAAAGATGGTGTATGAAAGGAGAGTTCAGGGCTTACCTCTATAGATACTACATTTAGAGAAAAAGCATTCTATCCAGTAATATTTGTAAATGGGTAACCACAGTATGAACTGACATACAGATAGTCTGTCAAAGGGAAATGGTGTGTTACATACTCTACAACGGTATATATAAACTGGAGTAGAATTCTGCAGCCAGACACCAACGCAAGAAATGAGACTACTTGCAGTAGTGTTAAGTCTAACAGGAAATGATATGAGAATTTGTATTGAATTCAGTGATATAGTCAATAGATTTCAGGCTAGTATTTAACTGAACCAGTTTTCAAGCTGAGCAACAAAATTGCACTGTATTTGTATGGGAGAAGACAAACGTAGAAGTTTCAGATGAAATTCTGGAATCCGACACATCCAGTAGTATCTGGATCATATGAACATCCAATAGTTTATATGCTTTCATGGATTTTAGAAAACTGATATCCAACTGGAAAACTCTGTCTGTTAGCACTAGTATTCTGTTAGAGTGGTCAGACTTCTCTGAGCTGCTGTTTCATGCCTCTGCCTCCTGTTGCTGTGGTTTTCTTTTGGAATGATATTTTCACATCCACAAGGGCCAAGACTAAAGCTTTTCAAAGAAAAGGATAGCCTGTTTTATAGGGAGAAAATTCTGTAAGGACTACAGGCTCCTTTGCAAGGATGAATTCCCTATTCCCCTCATGCAATAGTGGAAACAAAGTAGAAAGAAATTATTTACTTACCAATTGTATACAGTTCGATGTACTCATCATAGAACTGGATCACGGAGTCTTTGCTAGACCCATTCACCACAAAGTAAGTAATTGCATCTTTTATCGCCACATTTTGGAAGTGGCATCCCGTGTGCCTCCCTGTTCCATCTTCAACATAAAGCTCACATTCCATCTCTTCTCCTTCTCTGTGTACAGCAAGGTGTTTTAGTTGCACGCGTGCAGTGTCATGCGCTGAATCGGGATTCAGAATTCCCTAGAGTCAAGCAAGCCTACTCACCTTGAGTTCTGCCAGTAGAGAAAATATTGGGTATCACCTGGCGCATCCCCGCCCGCACACCAAGTGCAGTTCATAAGGGAAACATTGTAAACCACGCAGGAGAAATTTGTAATGGCTGTCCCGGGCATGCCTGCAAACAGAGGAACGTCCCATGTCCCTTTGTGGGGGAAAACGGTATGACTGCTCCAAATCAGAACATCCCGGCATCCACTTAGGTATTTCAGGCACCTGCGACTTCAGCTGATTACTGTGGGGCTTTAGGAATGGTGTGCTTCATTTTCGGTAGCATAACTGGAAGATGTTTGCAGTGATAGATTCCGTGAATAATTGCACATGGATATAAACTCCAAGGATATAGTTATAGTTGCATCTGACAGAATAAGGCTCAGGGCAGGGGAGCCTATTTTGCTCTAGTACAGGCAGTAAGCTAAAGTAGCTACCCTTGTGCTTTGAATTTTTCCGATTCAAAAAGAGACACAGGTGCCTTGATGTCACCACTCAAAATATCTCCCTGTCAGCCTTTAGAACCCTACAGTAGTATTTCTATTCCTGATGAATTTGCTTCAGTGCCTTGTCAAATACACAGGGAGAGCAAGGAGCCTCGCTGAGGACTCTAGAGAGGATGAGAAACCTGAGTACAGACCTCTTAAGTCTCTCAAGACTTCAGGGAGAAATGCTTATACAAATAGGTATAGATGTAAGCTTAGGAAGTCTTTGTGGTCTGCAGAGATACCTTCTTCCACCTAGAATTAATTCCAGGTACCATCTCCTGATCACAAACATTTCAACTCTCTCCTTAAGCTTCCACCCCTACCCCTACCCTCCCCCCCCTAAAAAAAAATTCCAATACATTTTTTTTAAACTTGCCTTTTAAAAGGAAGGATGACTTATCCTTAAGTCAACCCCTTTTTTAAAAAGAGATAGCAATTTATTTGGGCTTAACAATACCAGAATGAAGGCCATTTTGTATATGCTAACTCTATTTTGCTTAAATGAGCACATCATGTACCTCACTCTCTTACCACTTTTATCTATATTACATACATATATAATATACATAATAATAATATAGTGTAATAATATACATTTATTATCATATACACAAAGAAGAGTAAATTCTGTCAGACCTTTCATTATTGTGGATGAGACTGCAAAGTCATGAGATGCTGAGTGACACTGTGATAAAACTAAAGGTGTCACAGATTTCTCACATAAGAAGTTCAAAGCCAGCAGCCATAAACCTATTTCACTTGAATTTTTAATAACATTTTAAGAATATTTAAATGTAATCAATAATATATTAACACAAATATTTAAAGGAGATATGACAATGCAAATGATGGCAACAAGCAGGGTGCAATTACTGAGTTGTCTTGGCAATTTCCTTTTCTTGTGACTGAAAGCATTGTCATAATGCTCTGAATAAGTTCTTTCATCGCATAGAAAACAAGTGGATTAATTAAAGAATGATTTTTTATTTTTATTTTTTACCCTTAAAACATTGGAAGTAGGCAAAACCTCTTGTAAAGTTGAGCATATTACCTTGTGGAATAAATGTGCATATACTTGAATACGTAGTGTTGTTGTTCACTCCTGTAACTGAAAAGCTTGCACCGTTATGTAGAGGACGTGCTATATTTTTTTCAAACATGCAGTTTGTATTCTTCACCTGAAAAATGATACGCACATCGTTTACTTATGTGCTTTTCATTGGGTGGTTTACATAGCACTCCTTGTAGAAAGGGCTCAGGCTTGTGCTTGATTTGTTACACTGGGACCACTGCAACCATGAAACAGGTACCAACATCTTTCCAGGCTCGAAAACTTCCTTCCCAGAAGGTGGGGATAATGAACCTTTACAAGTGCAGGGTGAAGAGTTCAGTGCTTCCCTCTAGGAAAGCCCAGAGGAAATGCTGGTCAAATAGTGCTAGGAATAGCAGTTCCTCCTGCCCTTCCATCCATAGTCCCCCAGACCAGTTGAACCTCCTCAACATGAAGTATGTTTTCATAGGGATTGACAGAGGGCTGCAATGTGGTTTATACTCCATGCAAAGACGAATGGAGATACTCCACAAATGATTGCTTACGTAAGAAACTGGATTGAGGTTCATCTCCACTAACATTAGCTTTCTGATAGCTAGCATCTAGTCCGAGCAAGTCATACAGATGCTTTATCTATGCAGTGGTGAGGGAAGACACAGACATTGGCATCTAAGAAGCATGGGATACATTGCATTCAGGCAGGGCCTGTATGTCTCTAACAACTCCTGTCAGAGCTTAAAAAACTACAATCTCCATGTTTAGATTGCTGAAATGAGGGTAACACGAATCTACTCAAATGTGTGACTAGTCCTGTGGGTAATAAAATTGCATGGAGTATTAAAAGAATCCCAAAAAGTCAGGCTTTTCTAGAAACTGTCTACTGAAACATTAAATATGGTATACGGATTGCTTGTTGACATAGTAACGTAGTATGAAATGCTCCCTTTCCATTTGTGCAAAACAGACTGCCAAAACCTATATATGCTATTATAGTTCCTCTTCTTAAAAAAATTCCGTTTTAGGGGTTGTCTACCCAGTCAGATGCTTTAGAAATACCGGCCAAATGGGCTGACACTGCTGCAGCTTTGAGCTCTAGAAGAAGGGATCTTAGCTAAGGCAGGAGCAATACATATGCAGGCAAAAGAATAATGCCCGGAGGACAACTTAACAACTTGCTTTGAAGTTTCAGTCCATCTTGTAGAGGACAATAACTAAGAAATTATTCTGCTTAATATACATGTAGTTGCATAATAGAGGAAGGTCTAACTTGCCATCTTCTCTGTGTAAGCACTTCTAAAAACAAACTAAAACATAAGCAGAAGTTGCCTTTTTCTAAAGTCATGACAGTTTCAAGTCATCCATTCACATAAGATCTGAGGTTGAAGTCTCATGTCTGCTATCAAAAGTTTGGATCTAGTCAGAAAGTCTGGTGGCATTTCTCCTTTTCAGTTATTTATATAGGTTTCCCATTTTCTTGAGCGAAGATGAGAATCTGGACCATGCTAAACTGCAGAACGATCTAGTGAGTAAACCCTGCAAGAATGCTGCCTATAGAGTTACCACCCCCTGAGGCCTACAATTTTTTTCAGGACTTGGCTCAGTTTGCGTATACAAAGGTGCCTGCTCTGTTTGAAATACCCGTGGATATCCTGTTTGGCCCCAGCAGCTACACTAGAAGGGACATGTCTTCACTGCCTTTTGCGTCACACCAGCCATTTCTGAGCAGGCACATCATTGCATTTCCAAGACCACTGAAGTCTTATGTTTAGGCAAGTCAGTCAGGACCCAGTCATCTAACTCAAGTCTATCCATTGTACTCATAAATCATCTTCTGCAGGTCATGAGCTGCCTCTCACCTAAGCTCCTCTGAAATATGGACAAGAGGCAATCTTACACTTCAGTGCCATCAAGGCCCTGATTTCACAAGAGTGCTCTGAGAGCAGTATTTCATGAGAATGGTGAGAGGATGGACATACCTCAGTACAAAGAGGGATCTCACTAAAAACTAGAAAGAAGCACTAAAACACAGACTACCATGCTCCTACCAAGGATATATTTTTCAGTTACTTAAGGATACGAAAGAAAAAGAAAATAAGTGCAATGATTTATCTGTACTCAAACTTTACATAGCAAATTTACCTTTATCCTTATCTCACCATCACTTGCATTCATAGAACATGAATACTCCGTGAAATTCATGCTGCTCACCCAGCTCAGTTCCATTTTCCTCTGATTCAGGGTCAAATTTCTGATAGGCCAGTCTGGCATCTCCGCTGAAAGTATCACAGAAGAGTATCAGTACAGATGCAACACTAATGTCCCCAGATTTTCAGGTGCAGAGACTACCTAGCAGGCCTCAGCCATAAGGCAGCTTAACCACAACTGCTTCCAAAGAGAGACATATTACACCCCACCTCTGAGGATGTCCCTTGGGAGCATTGTACTTACAGTCTGTGCATCGCCAGCCAACACACACTGGGGTAGTAAACAGCAGCATCCACCAGATCATGAAGATGAGCCCAAGAGGAGCAACCATCTCTTCTTCCTCGGAGATAAAGAGCGATAAAACTTGCCTAAAGTCAAAGATGCCAGACTGAACCACTCGCCCCTGAATTTATCTAGTCTGACCTGCTCATACTGCCTGCCTCCACACCATCCTTCAGCTCCTATGGTTCTAGTGAGGCAAGATCTCCCTATACTGAAGCCAGGCTGACGCTTTCCCAGCAGGCTGCATTAATTCACGTCCTCAGGCATCTTGTTGCTTGTTATACCTCCTACCACCTTGCCCAAAGGGAAGTCAGAGTCACTGTGGTGGTGGACGCTGTGGTTCCCAAGATCTCTTTTAGAGCCATTTTGTAAATGGGAGTTACTTTGGCAACAGGCCAGCACTCTGGCACTATAATGAACGATTACATGCCTTAGCCAGCAGTTCTGCAATTGCACAGTTAAGCTCCTTCAGCATTCTCAGGTGGTGACACCTAGTCCTAGTGGCTTATTAGTATCTAATTTATCCACTTGGTAAACCATACATATATCTACCTCAAAGTGGTCTAGCTTCCCTGGTACAGATTTCCCTCTGGCTTCTGCAGGACTGAGGCGAAGACTGCATTGAAATTTTCTGTTGCAGCCTCACGGTTCCTAAGGGGCCCTTTTATGCCTCCATCACCAAAATGTTCCACTGATTCCCTTGCTGTTTTCCTACTACTGATATATTTAAAGAACGTATTAGTAGTTTGAGAATGTTTGCAAGGTGCTCTTCAGCTCCTTTTATCCTTTCTGATTTCCTGTTAACATTAAATCTGCCATGTTTATGGGTATTTCTGTTTTACTTCTTTGGGAAAGATTCACATGTTTTAAAAGCTGCCCTTTTCTCTAGGTTGATCTACTTAACTATCCCAAAGAGACATATATGGTTTTCTACTGCAATATTTTTGCTTCTTTTCAAATTGTGTTACAAAATTACCTGAACTTCCAGTACAGTAATTCTGAAAAACTTCCATGCTGCTCTCAGGCTTCTTCTTTCTGGAGTGCTCCTTTTAAGGTATCTTTTTGCTTGTTTATTGGCTTGTTTTTGATTAACTGCCTCATATTCCATTTCAAGAAAGAGTTAAAGCACAGGCCATCCTACAGATTCCTCTTTTCCCCAAAACTTCCCCAGTCACTGTGCTGTCTAAATCCTTCCTCTGTACTATCATGCTCTGAGTCTCCAGACCTCTGCCCATCTCTCAGGTCTTGAGGGAGAGAAGATTAAATAGACCTTTCAAGCAGTAAGAAAAGTGTTCAGATAAGTTGTACAAAAGTTAAAGAAGTTGTAATTTTCTACCACAAAACAATAAGGCTGTTGATCTTGGGACTACTGTATGAGATGCTATAAATATATATTTAATGATTGCTAACTTAAGGTCTGAAGATTATCTACATGCTATGAAGAAACGTTAAGAGGAATAGACATCAAGCGAGCGGGTAACAGTCACAAACAGAAAATGTCAAAACCAGCCACAGCAATATCAGTCAGCTCCAGTCACCCAATGGGCAGTATGTTATAATGAAGTCACTTGCTCATAATACTTAGTTCATATATTTTCAAGGATGTTTTCAAATATATGCATAAAAGTGGATCTTGGAGGAGCGTCTACCTTTGCTGAGAACTCAGTACCAAAATCGGAAAGAAAATCAAAATTATATCCAGGGCCTTTCCAAAGCAGGGAGTAGGCACTTTGTTTGCAAAGATCTTCATTCAATTTAGCGCCATATATTGCTTTGCCAGCTTTCAGATTTTTACCTAGGACATTTTTCTTCCAGCCTTGGGATTCCGGTATCCTCCTATCTTACTGCATACCTCAGTGACCAAAACAGTCAGATAAGACAAAGATGAACCTACCTCGTTTTTCAAAACTTCTGTATCTCATTTATCTTTGTATAATAGTCTTCAGGCTCAAAGAAGATGGAATGACTTGTATTTGAAATGGTTGTATATCTATAAATAGGGCTGTCTCTCTTGCCACTTGCTTTGTAGGGAACTGTTGTACCATGGGAAGTGTTGCAAGATGTGATGTTCATCACTTCCCTCCTTATTCTTACCAAATTCATTTCATTGCACAACTCATGATTTCACGTAACACAAAAAAGCAGTTAACTAGTTATGTTTTCCTTTCTCTTGTATAGGATCCATCGGTGCTTTGAGATCCATAGAAAACTTTTTCTTTGACAGACACTGTGGCATCTCAGGGCAGCAACTGATGGCCCCAGGTTGGGCTGGGGTGGGCCGGGGCTTGAGGGGATGGGGGAGGCCCAGGGAGGGCAGGGGCACTGAGGGCTGCTGGGGCCCTCCAAGAGCCGGACCCCAAGCCCATGGGAAAGAGATGATTTCAAATCTTGGATATAAGCTTTTTTAATAAGATACATCAAAGCCAGAAGTGATGATTTGGGTTTATTCTCAGTTCAGTATTCCCAGTGCCAACCTCCTACCCATAACAAACCCACAAAAACAGACAAAAAAGTTGCCAGTAGTCCTATGAGCAAGCAGATAAGTTAAGTATGCTGGTGCAAAAAGCCATTCCAGAGGCTGCTATTGAACATTCGTTCTGTTTTCAAGCCATAGCTGTGAATTTTCTAGGGAAGAGGGTTATTATAAACATCAAAAATGTCAAAACTTCTCTTATACTCTGAAATATTTTGCTTCACACAAGACAACAGAAGATACAGCTCATTTAATATTAAGCTTTATGACCCATGCAAAGAAATTTTATTTCATCACATGTTGAAATTTAAACATAACTGGAAAATATGATATTTTCAAGCTGTAAATCCTGTCAGGTCTTTCCTCTTATGAATAGTCAGATCTAATCTACTGGAGTTTTAATTCTCTCCAGCCTGGAGAAGAGAAGACTGAGGGGGGATCAGATCAATGTGTATAAGTATCTGAAGGCAAGGTGTCAAGAGGATGGGACTAGACTCTTCTGAGTGGTGCCCAGAGACAGGCCAAGAGGCAATGGGCACCATCTGAAACACAGGAAGCTCTGTGTGAACATGAGGAAAAACTTGTTTCCTGTGAGGGTGACTGAACACTTGACCAGGTTGCCCATACATGTTGTGGAGTCTCCTTCCCTGGAGGTATTCAAAAGCCATCTGGATAGGGTGCTGGGCAACGTGCTGTAGGTGACCCTGCTTGAGCAGGGGAGTTGGACTAGATGATCTCCAGAGGTCCCTTCTGACCTCAACCATTCTGTGAAAAGTTATAAAAGAAAGAATAGTTCATGTACTTCTTTACCATCGCCATTTCTTGCCTATTATATTTGGAAAAAAGCATCTGCTGCCCAGCATCCTGCCAGGCTGCTCTAGTATTCACATTCTCTATCAAAAACCCAAAATCATTCCTATTGCACTGCTTCCCTGCTGACGTACGCAGTGATATAACTGTAAATCAGCTATTCATAGATAATATATCGGCATCAGGCATGTTGCATGTCAGACATTCAGGAGGGAGCGGTGGTTTCTGCAAAGAGATCGTACAGGATTCACACTGATTTGATGTAAACTAAGGTTATACGCTTATGAACAATAAAATCTCTTAGTCTTTCTGTGCTTGCATGAGTTACCAGTTTTCCAAGCATACTAGTTACATTTTCTCTGCTTGAACCTCTGTATCAGAGGTGTTTGTACAAACTGGCAAGCAGAAACATAAACACAATCCTTAAAGCATCCAGGAATTTTCTGTTTTTCTGGGGTTTTTTTCCCTTTAATTTCCTTAGGAGAAAAGCAAAGATAATGCAATGCTGACTATCTTTGTAAACAAAGAGTGCTTACTTCCTATAGACCCAGAAACACTTAGGCTCGTGAGTATTTCTGGTGTCTGGATTCCTACCAGTGAGTGAGCACTCATCTTGAGCAACCAGAAAGGGAGGATCTTAACAAACCCTCCTAGATGTTAACAAACATCCCTAGAACAGTAACATATAGGAATTAACAGAGCCTGGCCCGGGCTTTTGTGGTCACAGAGTGAAAAGCTTAAGGGAATGGTAGTTTTATAAGGACCAGTTCACGAATCACCAGAGTTTACTTGCTCCATGAAAACGTAATAAGGCTTTTCTGAAGCATAGTTACAAAATAAATAACGAGAATGAAGGGCATATAAGAATTGGTGGATGTTTTACCAAAAAGTAGATGTACTTTTGAAGTAGTCGTGCAAGAAGCTGTCCTTGTTAAGAATCACTGTCTCTGTCACATTACAGGAAAAAGAACTGAAAGCTCAGACTTCAGGCCTGGGATGAACATGGTAATTCAGAGAGAAAATGAGCCTATTGTCAGAAAATTCCACATTAAAGAAATTTTGTGCTTGCATATGTAGGTATTTAGTGAACACTTACCGCACTGTAGAAGTAGAGGAAAAGACTTCTGACCATGAAGAATAAGAAAAAAATACCCTTTTGTGTCCCTGCCTTTGGAAGAAAAACATTCAGTTTTGAGGAGGTAATAGACCGTGTTTTAGGGATAAATCACATGCACAGAGAATGTTTAGGAGAATCAAAGGGGCTTCTAGGAAATAAAGGAAGGCTAAGAGAGTTTCTGGCTCACCACCTTTCTTTCTCTCCGCTTTCTGCCAGCCTTTCACCTCCCTTGCTCTCCGCACTCCCTCCTGCAGCAGCTCAATTTACAGAGCTTTATGCAGTGTCCTACCCACTCTTGCAGCAGATACCTACAAACCAGGAGCTCTTCTCGCCCTCTGGCACCTCTTGCTGGAGAACTGCAGAAGGGAGGGAGTTGGGACTGGGTCATGCAGCCCGAACAGCTGGCTGGGGAAGAGGAAGGCTGGGATCAGTAGCACCAAAGATGGGTCTACTGATCCTGCAGCCGCTGGGACAGTGAGTCAGCTGGACAGGGATAAGGTTTGAGGATAGCTGTTGCCGTCAGCAGGCTACAGCTCCTACAGACCTACAGTAGGTGGCAGAATCAGTTGTAGCATATGACTTCTTCCACAGATGCAGTGGCTGGATGGCAGGGCTGTGCGCATAGCTGAGACACCCTTTAACCACAATGTTTGGCATTGACGCAGTAGGATGTCGGCTGCCCTGGGCAACTATTTCATCTGTGCCTAAATCTGCTGCTCGGAAGTACCGCCAACTTCCAGGCTTTGAGTTATCCTAATTAAGGGTCTTGAAGAGGGTAAACCGGTTCAAACACATCTGTTCAGTGATGGATTCTCTCTCCAGCCTAATTCTCAAATGGCTACTGGTGCGTCCCTTGCGGAGCCCTATGCCCTGTGCTGAAGAGCTCCTGAGGCTGCAGAGTCACTGAAGAGGAGCAGCATCTTCCCTCTGAGATTATGTTTCTGTAACACAATGAGGAAGTCTGGGTTTCGATGTTTTGGGGTATGGGTACTTTTGTTTTCAAATTGAAATATGCTGTAGCAGAACAATCCAACAGCCCACAAGGACAGCAGACGTTACAGGATGTTACTGCAGGCAAAGGAGGCCTCCCACCCTTCTTTGGGTGGGGATTTCTTTGTCTTCCTACATTTAATACAAATACTCCCCTGAGGCTTTCAAAAATACAAATGAATTAAAAATTTTAAAAAATCTTCAAGGAAAGCTGATGCTATCCACAGTGTAATCAAAGTCTGTTTTCAAAGAGGTGACTTTTACAGGCCAGGAAACTAGTGTTGAATGGGCTCACTATAACCCAGGAGCTTGAAGAGAAACAGATTTTTTCCAGAAGGGAAGCCTGACAGGGACGCTAAGACTTTTTCCAAACTTTTGGCTCTAGAAGGAGTACCACTGCAGGAACAGAAATAAGAATGACCTTTGTTAAAAGCCCCCAGATCTTGCAGAATAATTCATTGCTCCAACACCAATGGGGGTGCTCACAGAGCTGCCTGGGCATTTTGCTATAGATGTGTGTTATTGCTTTTGTATAGTCTGCAAATATTACAAATGGGAGAGAGACAGTCCCTCTCTTCTGATCCTTGCAGCAAGAACTTTCTAATTTTAGTGAATGACTTTTTCCACAGAACAGAAAAACAACCATAGCAGACCAGAATTCAGGACTTCTCCCATCTGTATGAATATCTGAGCCACTTATACAGAAAGTCATACACCCTAACCTCCCTTTCCCAGTGAGTCTTGCCTTCGTCCCTTGCCCAGGGATGGGAAAGGGATGTCCTGACCCCACACCTGCTCCTACCTCCACTACTTCACAGATAGAACTTCTATTGTTCTCATCAGTGTGCTAGAAGTAAATTCCAGATTTTTGAATGCCAGGAGCTGTGCAGACTCAGTAGCTTTCCAAGTGAGAGCAATGGGGTTGTAAGGGGTGCACAGACGACCACAAGCAACTGTGACTGCAGAAATATAGAGAGGATCCAGTAGGGCTTATCTGGTTCAAGCCCCTTAGATTAAAGTAAACTGTAGCTTTAGCTGGCCACTCCAGTAGGCTCCTGCTATAGTTCTGTTTTTTAAAAGCAATCCAGGAGAACTATAGAGAGCACCAGGAATAATATTTTGATACAGATTTTATACAAGATGACTGCAGGAGGTACTCAGCTAGACCTATGACTCACGAATAAAGAAACGGTCAGGAATGTGACAATCAACAGTTGCCTTGACTGCAGGGACCATGACATGGTCAACTTTAAGATACTGAGGGAAAAGAGAAAGGTGAGTACCATAACACAGACCTTGCAAGTCATGAGAGTAGACTTCAGCTCACTCAAAGCAGGATATCATCTGAGATCCAGAGTTCTACCCATTTCTCAGCCTTTTAGTCAGGAGATTGGTAGTAATTCAGAAAATTCAGCTAGCGATATGCTGGGCTGAAGTTTCCTGCAAGCAGCTTAGGTTTAGCCTCCAGAATATCATTCCGTGTGTCTTGGGTGTCATGACATGAACCATAGCTACCTGTTCCTCCCCTGCAGTCCCAAGTAACCCCTCTGAATAGCTCATGGCATCTACTACCTTTTCCCAGGCACAAAACCTACCATGGCAGACATATCTTCACGTACTTCATAGATCCACGTCTCCTGCACCCACAAGCAAATCTCCCACTTGCTTTCTCCTTATCTGATGGATCATCTCTGCTGCAGGAGCTCCCTTGGTGTCAGAGGACGGTGCATGGTCATCAGCTAAGAGATGGCTCAAGGCAGGCCTTCCTGCAGCCAGGGCTTTGCTCTGGACAGAAGTGAAACTCCCACAGGAAGTTCTGCTTTGATGGGGACAACCAACCTCAGCTTCTTGGGTTAAGGGGAACCACTGAGGGTTTTATATCTAGCACAATCTTTTCTTAGCTTCAGCAGTACCTCTTTTGTTTTGCAGTAATTCAATTTACCTGAATGTGCAAATCACTTAAGGCATTCCACTAAGCAAGAGTTCGTCCTATGGTTTCTCTGGTAGAAATGCAGAGGCAAAGATCAAACCAATTTCAAAAGAAGTGGTTTTACAGTTGGAGATAAAGCTTTGGAAAAGCCAGTGAGGATAGAATAGCCTAGTAGGCATGGGATAGACATAGCCCCCAGTTTTCTCAATCTAAAGAGTCCGTGTGCAGAAGCACACGTGATCAGCCTCCTAACTGCAATCCTGTCTCATGTTTCCTTACTAATTGGAAGATTCAGGATGTGCCTGTTCTGTTTAGTCCAGGTGTTATCAAAATATACAACCTCCCCGCACCTTTTGCAGCTAAGAAGCTTCTGCTTGAGAGCTCATAAGTTTAGCTTCTGTCATTAACCCCCCTCCCACACAGGCACAGTTATTCCCACGATAACTTCCAAGTACTACCAAAATATTTTTCTGAAACATTGCAAGAATATTCATCATAAGAAGAAATAAGAAGAGTCAAATTATTTATGGAAAATGCAAGCAAATACAAAGTTATTTTTAAAGATAGGCTCTTGGGGAACTACGTTTACAGGTAACACTGTTATCTCTGCCCACAAGACACAGCAAATAAGAAAACTAACAAGATATATAAGTATGTGGAAAAATTCAAACTGCTCATTTCACTTGCATGCCATTATGCCATTTCTTCAATAGTTGTTATTATTTCTTCAGGTTCATGCTTTGTTAATTGATTCTCATATTCTATCTAGTAAAGGAAGAATAAAACATTAGTTTAATGCATGAGATTAGCCACTGGTTACAATTTATGACCCACCTGTTATTCAGACAGTGGCTATTTATTTTATAGAAGTTGTGGTAGGACCCTGTCAGTGAGAGCACTGAGGTAGATTTGTTCAGGTCTTTCCTTCATGGAGAGCTCCCCAAAGAGGACCAAAATATTTTTCTACTCCAAAACCAGAAAATTCATCTTTCCATCATGTTTTTGCAGGCGTGTTCTTGTTTCCAGATGTGGATGTAACCAACTCAAAGACTTTCTGAATTGTAGAAAACTTTGCCACAATGCCCTTCAGACCTACAGTTCTCCACTGTTACCTGCGATCGTCTGTCTCTTCCTTGTTCTTCTCGTGAAGAACATCTATCTGAAGTTTGCTGCATAAGCTAGAATCTCCCAGCTCTGTGCTGTGACTCTTTTGCTCACTGCACTCTAGAATCTATACTGGTCTCAATATCTGCTATGACACAGGTATTTTTGATTAGCAGTAGGTTTTTCTGCCCCTTCTCTCCCCCAAAGCTGACCAACAGCCTAGATCTGTTTTACCATTGCCGAGAAGCTTAGGCACAGCACTGTTGTAGTGATGGCTTATGGCTTATAGGGAGAACAGGGTGAAATTGTGTATTTCTCCAGTGCGCCAGGTAGATGTACACCAAATGCTTTAGAACGTAAAAAGAAAAACAAAATAATTATTTGCATATGGACCTCCTCTTTCAGTACCCCATTTACAAGAAAAAGAGAGAAAATTACTCCTTGCTTCTGAACATCTCTCTGGCACATAGGTCATATCTTTCAGGCAGTGATGGATCCTCATTTATAACAAATTTCCTGCAAATGGAAACAAAACATACCTGGAAATTCATAGGAGAGCTCTCATGGAATGGGTCTTTTGGCTGTGGTACTGGAGCAGATATTATTTTCAAACAAGTTCTTCTACAGCAGCAAAAAGGGGTAGTGAAGAAAAGACTGAGTATGCAGACTTATCAACACTTATTATGTTATGGTACTCTTGAGGTATTATTTTCTTCCCCCGAGACTGAAGTAATGAAAGAGTAACTAAGAATTGCGTAGGTTGAGCACAATGGTATCAGTTCATTGTTCAGAAATTGGACTATAACTTCTTTTATGAATTGTTAAAGAATCGTAATAAATTACTTTATTTCTGTCTCCAAATGGGAAATATCCTCAAAACAAATAAACAATTTAATGCGCCACCCATCTACATTACAGTGTCTGAAGGTAGGAGAAGGGCACCGGTATAAGCCTTCTCCCGCTAATGGAGAGAGTTGTTTTACACTGGGAATTAGAACTATAACGCCCATATGAGGAACATCCGGCAGGTCATGACTCCTGCTATAGCTCAGTGTCAAAATTTCCCCTCTCTTCTCCCTTTAATTTATATTAGAACTTTTCTTGTTGGGGGGAGGAAAGATTTTTTTTTTTTTTTAATTCAGGCACAGAATAAAAATTTTCCACAAGAAATAAGGCTTACGCTGTGCAGAGGAAAAATATGAGACTTGCTGTCACCACTAATGGCAGAACAAGCGAATATCCTGAAGCAGACGTAAGATGTTCTCTTCCTGAAAGGCAAGCAGTCATCAAAGTGCTCATTAGCATCACAGAACACGAATGACCACACAGCTGTGTGAAACATCTGCTTTGATGAATGATAGCATCAAACACCAATACGAAGTGGCTTCTTCCTTAACTTAGCTCCCCATCACCTTGTAAGGTTTGAAGGAACAGGATGGCTGGCAGTATATGGACAGTCTCCGGTAACCTAAAACATTGCAAAACTTTTTGCAAGGAACTGAGGCCTTTAGAGCCCTTCAAAATCCAAGGTGACATACGATAACAGTGGAAAAGAGAAGTTTATAAAGACAGAAGTAGAAATGGAAGAAGAAAAAAGAGCTGGCAACAAAGACCTGAAGATCTGTTTTATTCACTGGCTATTTCCCTGCAATAAGCACCCACTGTCATATCAGAGTGCTTGGAGGCCTCCCTAGCATGAGGAGAGGTGCAAATTCTTTCCTCTTTTTCATCCTGGCACATTGGAATAATGTGTGAATATCATTTAAATGTGTTTCTATCTGTAAGTAGGAAGCAATAAATGAGGCAGATAAGTAATAATTGAGAGAAAACTAGGACAAGAAAATGATTTTCCTTCTTACCAAACTCAACAGGTGTACTCCAGTCCCCCCAGTTTGTGCTCACTAAACAACCATTGTCAGTTGCTCTGATTCGGACTTTGTACCTCTTTTGTGCATTGAAGTTCTGAAATATGTAGAATCTTCCTGTGATGTTTCTTTTCTAAATACAAAACAACTCGACTTAGAGCTTTTTCTTCACTAGCTGTGCAGATGTTAACGATGTGTTATGTTCATTTATTGATGCAAGCTATTAGAGAAGAAAGTTTGGACATACTTCTGTGAACGTACCAGGGTAAAACAACAAACAAAATTTTTATCCCTTTATAAATTAGCTTGTTCCATCCTAATCCTTTCTATTTGAATGTCTGTGTTATTGTTGATGTGAAGATGAAATTTACTCTATGCTTCCTAGACTCCTTAGCCTCCAATTAAACACTGTGACTTTAGAAAAAAATCAAAAGTTTATTTTCGATCCACAAGTATTTTTTTCTACTAAAATTTAGTTCTTTAGAGATTTGATATTTCAGCACCCATGGAAGTATTCAAAATTGAAGTGCAATGGCCACATTTTACTGAAGGGAAAGATTTGATATATATTGAAATTATTCTCAGAAGAATATTGATCCTTCTTGAAAACTTGATTTTTTTTCTTCTCCTTTATACTAACTTAATCTTTTAGGTGGTATTTTCCTGCATCCCTCATCTCAACTCATTCCACAGACTATTATTAAAGAAAAAGTTTTCCGCATTTTGTGTGTTTAAGTGCAATACGGAAATAAAATCCATATGTGTATACATATATGTAAGAGGAGGTAGAATATAAATAGACTGTACAATGGAAGGTTTCATGACATGCAGAGGACTAATATTCTACCTGTATAGATATTTTTTGTATCATATTTTGTAAATAACAAGTTAAAACATAACAGGTTAAAATAGCTATTTTTAGGAGACTTTTAGCTAAAAAGCATATTGGAACTGGTGGATTAAAATCAAAACAATTTGGTTTGAAGATGCTTTTATATAGGTGAACTTTCAGCCCAGCATAAGCATTAGATTAATATGCTAATGAAGACTTACTGTTTTAGATGCATCTTTGGTGTTTTCTTCAGGATCAGCCTAGCAACAGAAGAAAATTTTAATTTTTATGACTATTCTTTTTATTACTATACAATTAAGGGTCCCTAACTTCTGAATGTTTGAATTTCAGGAAAAAATGTGCATATAGTATTTTAAATACTTTCTTTTCAAGACTATGAAGTAAGCTATTCTTCCACTGAAATTTATTACCTCACCACTGGTGCTCTGAAATAATGTATCCTTTAAATTTGATGGTAAAACAGAGAATCAAAAACTAAAGAAAGAGGCTCAGATTGCCCAGAAATGAAAATTGTATGTTTTCCTCACACAAAACATAGAATCTGAAAAAAATACTAGTAAATGAAGACAATTTTTTCCATCAAAATTTTTCTTTCTGTAGCTTTTTCATTCTAATGGGTATAATACTACTGCCCATATTCATCCAGCTCTTTAAAATACCTGTAATTACTGAATTGTATCATAACAACCATGAATTAAGGCCTGGAAAATCTGATTATTCTGCTTCAATAAGCTGAAAGAATATTTATTTTTATTTGAAAACATGAATCCACTTTAAATTTTAAAAAAAGGTCACTGAGTTTTTTTTAAAAAAATCAGCAAATAGATGCAGCATTACTACCTCATTATTTCTGCTCATCATAGAGCACTAAACTTTTCCATGGAGTAACTATTGGACTTTGACATAACTACCAAGTAAAGGATTGCTAAAATAGTTGCAATGTAAATTCAAGACACTCCCGACTTTGTATATGGTGCAGCTAAATCTAAGAATTTGGTCAGCTACAAATTTTGAGGTAACTAAATAGTTAGCTGGATCTGGGAGGATGCTTGCTTATGAATAAACAGCATCCCAAAGGGTCACACAGTTTCAGCCAATAGTAAATCGGGAAACATCAAAAAAAAGTATTTAGAACAGTCTGTAGTACAGGCACTTAAATGATGGAGGGAGGGAGTCATACCCAAGTCATACCCTAGACGTATCTAGTGCTTAGATACGTCATGTCCAGATCTTGATTTATCCATTCTCCCCTTACTTTTTGGTAGTCATAGTAACTACGTACTGCTTCAGCAGTACCTCACTGGTAGTAGTAGGATTATAAACTGAGGCAACAGGTGAGGAAGGCAAGGTTGGATACACAAATGTCAGATGGAGGTATCTAAAAGGCCTCTCAAAACATCTGGATAAGTAAGTTGGCAAGCAAGGAATGAGGAAAAGCTTTGGATCTATTTAGCAATACCATAAACATAACTGAGCAGTACTGACAATTACAACAAGTAGGAAAAAATGAGAAGTGAGGTTGACTGTCCGTAAAAGATATGATGAAACTCCTGACTGCATAGAGTTAATTCTGCATAACACCTAGGCGCTTATAAAACATGATAGATGGGCTATGAGAGTGCAGAGAGGAAAACTACAGAAAAGAAGATCCTGACCTAATGTCATCTAGAACGGTACCATGAATAAGACACTACACTAGAACTCAAACCATCTTACAGGGACATAAAAAATCTGATCCTATCCTGTTTAACTGCAGTTTTGATTTTCTGTAGTTGACTTAGAGTTTGTTGACATGTCTTATAATTGTCCGTAATAATGTTACCAGGTCATATAATCAATCTGCCTATTTGTACTAGCTGTTCATCTTCAGCGTGGTGAATCCCTTGCCCAGTTTCTTTAGAGACTAGCTGCTGAGCGGGCTGAAAGTATTCCCTCAGTCGACTGACCCTATCTGTGGGTAGCAGCAGTCCTCAACTCATTTGCAAGGTGGCTGCTACATATGAAAAAGGAGAGGTTGCTTAAGAAGGAGAAGAGAGAACAGGGTATTGGTTGTATGGTAAGTGTGCGTGTGGAAATGCAAGTATATGCAGTATTACTAAGAGTCATAGAATAAATTCTTCTTACCGTGTTTTCTATGACGATTTCATATTTGAAACAAGCATCTCTCTTAACGTGACTTGTGCGAGGTGGTCGCCACTGAATTTCACAACCATGCAAAATGCCGATACAATTCACAGTGACATTTAAAGGAGGGGTGAGCTTTTCTGAAATAATATAATCAGGAATGCAATAAAATAAAAATCAATTCTCTTCGCTTTGGCTTGATAAAAAACAGTGGATGTTCAAGCAACTGGTCTAGAAAGAGGTGCTACAGCTTTACTAGAATTATCAGATTCATCCCAAATTTTGATTCAGGACTTCCTAATTTAATGCTCTGATGAGAAGTCTGGAGTACCTGAAGCAGCAGTAGGCAAAACTTAAAAAAACCAAAAATTTGTGTTAACTTTTGCATTTTGGAAATGTAATCTGTCCAGGGGTTTTTGATGCTGAGTTCATATTAAATAGAATTAATTTATTTCTGTATTTCTTACTAGTAATATGCTTAAATTGGCAAGTATTGGAGGATTTTGCTTACAGTTTTAAGGCACTTGGTACTTTTATGTTCCGTGGAGGAACAGAATTATGGGATAAAGATATAAGCCCAACATCAAGATAGTCCCTCTGAGGCATCCTTAGCGATTTAATCTCCAATGTTAGTATCTTTCTTTCAGAGAACAAATATTTCACCGAAATATTCACTATTCTCTGATCCATAATTTCACATTGCCTCTGCATTCGTTTGTTTTCATTCACTCTTGTAATTTTGACTTTTCAGACTTTAAGGCTGGAAAAAAAGAAAAAAAAAATCTATCCTGAAGATCAGTGTGTTGCAAATGTATACTCTTTTTCTGGGGATGTATTCTTCATTTCCTCAGTATAAAACTGGAAATAAAATTTGAAAAAACAAAATATATCCTTACCAATTTTATACAAAGCAATCTTCTTCTTATAGGATTGAATGTTTTGTCCATTTCTAGACTTGTTTACTAGGAAATGAGCCATCTTATTTTCAATGGTCACATTTTGGAATCTACATCCCGTGTGTCTTCCATAATTATCTTTGACGTAATTTTGGCATTCCATGAAATCTTCTTTCCTTTATATAACAAAGTGCTTCAGTTAAATATGGACAATGTGACATGTCAGATCAGAATTCAGAATTCCCTGGAGTCAAGCAGACCTGCTTACCTTGAGCTCTTCCAGTACAGAAAATATTGGGTATCTCCTGGAGCAGTCGTGCCTACTTGCCAAGTACAATTCATGAAGGAAACATTGTAAATTACACAGACGAAATTTTCAATGGCTGTCCCATTCATGCCTGCAAATGAAAGAATGTCACATGTCCACTTTGTGAAAAACTGTGTCACTGCTCAAAGCCAGGAGATCTCTGCGTGCACATTTAGCTGTTTTAGGCATGTGATTAGTAAATCCAATGGCATATTATTCAGGTCTAGCAATTAGACACTTACTTTAAGACTGCAATAATTTTATCTGTGTTCATCTGTGAGGAATCTGCTATTGTTTCAGATTCTGAAGATATGTCTAGGATTTGATTAGCTAGACTAAGTCTCAGGCACACTAATATAATGGGGACTAATAACAAAGATATGATCGTCTGTCCTTTGCGTAGGTCCTACTTTATTTAAGACCTTGTCTACAGTGAAATATAAATTCTACAACCATGAGCAACTGTGTTTTTGTTAAGTGCTCTGACCTGTGGTTGATTGAAAAAGGACTAGGCATTTAAAACAAGCTCTCTGCCACTTTCTTTTGTGTAACCCCGGGTGATTACAGCCTAACCTTCAGACTGCTTCCTAGAGCGTTGCTCCTGCAGAAGTGTCACGTTTTTGATGGGATAATGGCAATCTTTTGGATCTGACTGATCCTGGATGTGAGACAGTTGCTAATCTGTTCAATACTGAGGCACTTTGGATTCACACAAAGGCTGAATCATTGGTAAAGAGATATATTTTGGATATCTGTACAGCATCTAGATCTGAACTCAAGACCCTAGCATCTCTACAAGCTAATACTGGAAGTGATTCGCCTAACAAACCTCACATACGTGTTTTAGGACCAGAGATTTCCTTCCTTGAATTTCTCTCAATTTAAGTCTTTATTTATACATAGATATATACATACATACATGTATGTATGTATATTTTAGATATCCATTTATTAAACCTTGTTTTTCTATTAATTTGGGATCATTTCACAGAACTGACTTGGGAGCAATCAGTAATGCATAATTAAATTGACTAAGCTTTAGGGTGATTATCCAGCTAGAGTAGCCTATGTTCTGCAGCTGTGGCCTGTAACCTCATAGCTAGGTTTTTTGTCAGCCAGAGTAGTTTGCTTGACCTAATGTCTCAGCCACTGCTAAGGTTTTGACCTGCCTAAAGCCAAGAGTATTTTACATGAGTATTTTATGTACTGCATACTGTCCTCCTTCAGATTCCTATGGCTGACTGGTTTGGGCATTGCCCTAGGATAAGCGATAAGAGTGTTCAAAAGGTATATTTCCTTTGGCTCCTTTCTGCTCTTCAGCTGTAATATGAGAAGAGGTAGCTTTCCAGAAAAGGAGTAGAAACTCAGATGCACTCCTAATATATTTAGTTGGATACCTCCAGGAAGTTACTTTTGGCTTTTGGAAGGCTTTTGGACTACTCCAAAGAAGGAAGTTTCTTTCATTTGAGTGCATTGAAAATGTAGACAGATAAGAAAGATGATAGAGGATTAAAGTTTCCAGAGACAAAGGCTGTAGCCTTCAGACAGACAGACAGGGGAATCAAACCCCATGTCTCAAAATATATCTCATGGGAAGCGCTGTCTTCACATTCCTTACACTGGGAGTCAGCATGCATCACGGAAATGTTACTGGGGACAAGATCTTCCAAGGGAGTCCAAGAGTAGCAACCATCTCTTTTTTTATGCCTTTGGAAATAAAAAGGAATTTTTCAAGAGACAATAAAGATGCCAGAGTACTCTTGGATTTTTGGAAAACTTCCTCTTTTTCAAGAGCAAGGTGAAAACTATTTCAAGAGCTTGGTTTAGTAGCGTTTCTCTGGAATGATACATTCCTGCATCCTCCATGGATCCTTCTTGACTGCATCCTGCTTCCTTGGCTGTGCTAGTACCATTCCTTGTAAGGTCTCCTACTGAGCTGTACTGAAGAACTGATCATCGCTAACTCTTCAGCAGTTTTTGTTTTGCACTGTTTTCTATCACAAGGGCTTACCACCCCTTACCACAAACAATCACACAAACTCATCTGAGATGATAGTGTGGGTTAGCAACAAAGATCCAGAGGAGAGCTGCCTAGGCTACTTCTGCTACTGCAAGAAATGTTCACCTCAGTTTGGTCATTAGAGGCATCTAAGCACTCAGCAGGCACCCACTCCCAAAAGTCCACTGACTGCGGTCCTGTACTAAGGTGATGGAGAGCTCTGCTCAGTTCTTTGTTCTGCCACAGATTCAGCTCATGACCCAGGGTCGATCAAATTTCTGCACTTCCCCATTTACAAAAGGGAAATATAACGAGAATGGAAATAGAAAAAAATTTCTTCCCATGAAGAAATTGTTAGGTATATGCATCAAAAAGTCTGAGGTATGATCACAGGAGATATGCAAGGGTTTTACAGGGATAGGTTTTCTAAAGCCTTTGGAAATCCTACAAATCAAAAGAAAAAAGGATTATTCTGATTTCAGATCAGATCACAACCTGGTTTAGGTATGCCCCAACAAGCCAAGCTGGCTGGGAATATAGGAAACAGGATGAAAGCATCTCCAAAAATTGCACTGTGATCAAGGAAAAGGTAAACGAAATGTCTGAGGGAAGCATACAGCAATATACTCAAATTATCTTGAAAAATACTAACATGAGAACTGCAATGAGAGATTCGATCTGCCTACAAAATAGTCAGTTATCAGCTTCAGAGTGTCACATTCATATCAACATCAAACGTATGCTGGGAAGCTTTTTCATGTGTATGTGAGTCACAGTATCCCCTTTGTAGAACGAGACTTTCGTTCCAGGTTTTGAGGGGATTTATTTTTCATTTCTTCTTTATTTACCTTTTTTGTAGCTATACTGAAGAAAACCTAGCAGAGTAGGTAAGTAAGGCTTCCCTGTCTTTAAGGTATTATTTATTATTGATCCTACTCTATTCACCTACATTGTAAGTGCTATAATTTTACTTTTATTTTTATTATCATCTGGAACTGAGCAAAATTTTCAGGAGAAGTTTCTCCCATAATCTCCCTTTATTTCAATAGAAGTCTGAAATTTTTCTCCTTCTAGTTTATACTTGAGGACTAGCTATGTTGTTCTAGTGACTTCTTACTCCTAATTTTTCAGTTTGTTTTAGCAACTCTTCTTTAATAACCCAATCTTCCTCACTTTTCTATCATTATTTCCTTAAAAAAGAGGCAGGACCGTACTGTCACAATCCTTTTTTTGTAATCTATGATGCAAAGAGCAGTTTAGTTTCACTGTAGTGCACTTTTCCTTCTGAAATGCCTCTTATATTCTTTCATAATGTAATGTATATACAAGTATACTAATATACTCACAAGCATCCTTGGCCATATAAATAACTTATTTTTCCATATTTCAATATCTTTAGTTGTATTTGAAATTTTTCTTGATATTCTTTATATCTTTTCATGAGAGAAGTACTTAACAGAGAGATTGATGCTATGATTGTAATTATATCCAATTATATAAAAACTTAATATTTTAGGCAATTTCCCAGATACAGGGAAACTTGGGTTCATTTTTTTTCTTGAATCAACTTAGATATTACCTCTATCTCTTGTGTGGATGTCAGAAACTATGTAGGAGCCATAGCTGCGAAAAAACATCAAAGAAAATAAAGCTTAGCTCTGCAACCTTATGATAGTCAGGATTATTAATGAGGAAGGACTGGATCTCATATCTGGACTTTGAGCACAAGAGAATTTTTACTTTTTATTCAGTAACTGTTGAATAAAAAATGAACAATCATCTCTAGGCTCTTGGGACACAATGGACCAGATAATTTGAAAAGGATTATAAAAAGGCGAACAAAAAGAAATTCAAATTGCTTTAACCTAAGCAATTTGGTTAGATTAAACCTGAACCAAACTTAGGTTTGGTTCTGAAGAAGCCATCAGATTATGGGCTGGAGTTTTTCTTACCTAACCTTAAACAAGAGCTACATAGATGTGTCTATAACTGAGCCACTAAATCAACACTGCTTTTACGATGGCGGGAAAGAAACAGGTACTTAAAACACAATTTATTCAGCCTAGTCTAGGATGAGATGGATGAAGTCTTAGTAAAGCTTATTTCCTGCTGCCATTGAGAAGATAGTTCAAGGTGACTAGCTCAGAAGCATGTACGTACAACAAAGTTATCTGCTTTGGTCAAATGAATTCAGGAGGATCCATTCCTTCCCCCCTTACATAATCTGTAATTCACATGTATGTCTCTGAGATCTCAGTTTGATCTCTACTAGAGTTATGAAATATTAAACAGAAATGCCACCAGTATTCTTTGCTCCTTGAAAATTGCAAATTTATTTCTGAAAATACCTTTTTTTTTCTTCTTTTCTTCCTTCCTTTCTTCCTTTTATTTTCAACCTGTATTACTATCATATGCTTCTCCTTTTTAGAAAATAATTGCAATTGAAGAACAGTATTTTTCCCTCCAGTGGTGGGAAAAACTGTCTTTCACATCTCAATTAATTCCTGTGCAACCTGTTGGTCAAACTCTTAAGGAAACAAAGTAATTCCATGTGAAGCTGTTTCCTTTCTGTACCATAGTTTATAATCATATTCTGAAAATTTGCTACTGCTAGACTCTATGTTATAGCATGAGCCACCTTCAGTTACCTCTCAGAACATGTTGAATCCTGAAACACATCCACATATAACACAGGAGATGGTTATATTAGGTATTTAGAAATATCATGCTGCAATGACAATTGTCATCCATACTGATTATAGGGTTGATTAGATAAGAATAAAAACTGGTTGATAACCTGATGAGTATAAATAGCACTTGACCATGCAGCTCTTGACTACTCTTCATACTGCTATGACTGTTTAATCAACGCAAAGGAAACTTTGCTTTGACACTGTAATGTAGGTTTTGACTTAACTAGATGAATACACAGAGGAAAAATGCTACTACTTGGATGAGGCCAGTAATGCTAGATATATGGCCACCCTTTTCATATTTCACGATCTTTACATACTTATTTTCAGACTGTAGACAAAATATGTTAATATGCCATCAAAATTTTGCCTAGGATTCATCAGACAGAGACAAAAGCATACACTTGTAGGTAGTGTCTGTCCATCTCAGGGTTATTTTAATAGCAAAAACTAGCACAAATAATAAAATGTAGTATTTCTTTGCACAACTTCTTTGGAGTAAAAGTAGAACAGTAATAAACAGAGACAAAAATAAACATACCTCCTCCTTGAAAGCCTTTTTCCCTGAGGTGATCACAGTAATGGGTCACAGAAAGTACAGAAACTTTGAAATTGCCTTGGCATATTTTTTTGTGCTTTGACAATGTGCTTTCTTTATTAAGTTCTTTTAAATCACCCATGCAACAGGATGCAAAATCCCGCCTACGTCTTACTCATTTCCTTATCCTCTACTTCTGCAACATAAGGGAGAAAAGCAGTAACAGCCATTGTTTTTCTAAGTAAGGGTAGAGTGACATCATCCTCTTTACCACTTCATTCACCTAACTTTTACTCATTCATGTCAGTTGTGCTTTATAAAGGCTACTGTATAGGGCACAACCTTAGAGGTAGGTGAATATAGGAGCTTAAGCTATAGTTTAGATATATATCAGGTACCGTTGTTCCAAGCCCCTCCATTGTCTCCTTCTCATTGCCTAGGGTCACAGCCCTCTGCAGGACAATAACCCTGGTACTTTGGACAACAGCCCACACCTCTGCACGCAGCCTCAAAGTCGTTTCCTGTAGATAGGTAACAAACCAATGTCACCAGCAATTCTGTTTAACAGAATTGCTGTTCCTGATGTGTCCGGATGTTGCTGGGCAGGGTGAGTTCGACATGCGCCTCAGAAAAACTTTCTTAATGCATGTAAATGTTCTGAGCAGCTCAGATCTAACAAAAATCAACATTACTTCACCTGTCTGCACTACTGCCCTGGTCCCAGGAAGGTGTGCACTTCCCTTTTCCCTGTGGCTGCAGACTCCGAACATCCTCTGTCCAAGTGCGTTCATCAAAATCGTGAACTAACACAACAGGTTGTCCACACCCAGGCATGAAGGTCTCCTCCTGCCCAGATTTGCATGACGTGAGGTGAGTAGCCCTTAAGTGCCATCCCAATTGCTTTATACACTGAAGAATGGGGTTCAGTCCTTTGCTCAGCAAAGCAGCTTGCATGAGCTGATGAAACGTAGTAGCTGCTCTTTCATATATCCCATGCGCTTTCAGTGTAATTACAGATCCCTCTGCCTTTCCCACCTTTAAATCATTTTAAAGGGGAAAGCAAGTCATTAGTGTAAATCACAGCCTTCAACTTTGATAAGCTAAAATGTTCACTGAGTGTACTAACGTTACTATGGACATCTGTTATATCTCTGTGGAAGAGTGGCAGATCAGTTCAGACCTGTCCTTCTGCTTGCCTGTATCTTTTACAGGTTGATTCTGATCAGCCTTCTGGGCAGAGGAGGAATTGAGGGTTTCTAAAAAAAAGATGTTTCCTCTTCCTCAGGTCTCAATTCCTCAATTTTATTCATTGTGTAGACAACACGGTACTAGCTCCTTGCTGAGATGTCATTTCAGGAGCTACAGAGGCAAAGCAAGACCTTTTGTTCTCTTTCTCATTTTCTATCATAGAGACTTTCATAAAGCCAGAGTGAGTTATGGTTTTGGGACAGGTTTGCCTCAGTGAACTCGAAACCTATTTTTTAATATTTTATATAAATCCTACCCAGTCAAATGACAATAATGCTGTGCAAGGCTGGAAGCTAAGCAGTTGACTCTGAGATGAGGTTCACAGAATGAAGTAGGTGTTCTTTGGAAAGGATGTAACTATGCAATTAAATTGTATCACAATTAATATTTATATATCCTAACAGAAATAGGGCTGTATAAGCAAATATAAATGGGGCTGGATGATCGTCTTGTTCTTCTACAAATTTATTTTTTATTCAAATTGGTATTTCTAAAGTATTGACAATTCTAATATGCAATCACATGGTACGTGGATAGTTTCCTTTGTGATTCAGCAAACTACTGTAACTCCTAATTACTGCTGTAGGAGTAACTTTTTTTAACTGGAGATTTGTAAAATCTCTGTGATATGGGCATGTCTGCTCATGCATTTCATGCTGCTTCCACTTCATAAAATCATTTGGGATGACATGAGAACCTTTAAGTGTTCTTCAGCAAAAAAGTATGTACTGAATAAAGAGCGAGTAATATTTTTCCTTCATTGTTAGAGTAAAAAAGGGTTTATTTACCTTTGACTTTGCAGTAATTCAAGTGTGGGTTTAGGTAGAAGTGAGGCAGAATGTGAGATGGATAGGTGATCTGATGGTTTCTGGCATTGGGATCCTGTGACTTATCTATCTGAGCAGTGGAGCTGGTGAAAGTGCACTCATCTCATCTACCTAGAGTCACTCATACTATGATTTCAGCTCTTTGTCAATGTAGGATCTGTTCTTCCAGTATCTACTGACCTCAGGTGAGAGAGAAAGAAAAGAACAGGGAACATGAGGACCCCCTTAGTCCACCTCAACTACTTGCCAGTTAAAGGATGTCAGACATGAAGAAAAGAAGCCTCTTGTGAAACTTGTGCCTCCATTGTAATGCAAAGTACAAGTGATAGGCAGAAGCCGAAGTGAAACTACATCAGAAGTCCCATAAACTTGTAAGATTCCATCTCATAATAAATTAGCAATGGTCAATAGCGCTTTTATACCTGTTCTGCATTTGCTTCATGTCTCCATTCTTTCTTGTTCAGAGGGAGTTTGGGGTGTTAGACCTTAAACCTGAGTTTCTTTATGATGAGCATCTGCAAGAGGACAAATAGGAAAAACAGGGAAGTCAGGAATAGAGCTTATTGTCAGGGGGCAGCAAGGCTGGGGGCTCCCTGGGGCTGTTGTTGGGCAAAGGCTGCCGTCAGGGCCGGTCCAGTGCTGGCCGCCTGGGTCCGTCCCCCCGCGCCAAGGGCGCAGGGCCACGTGGGCAGCCCCCATGGTTGGAGGGCATTGGGCACCACCGCGGGTTGGAGTCAGGGTGGCGAACAAGGGTCGGATCCAGCCCTGCAATGGAGCCTCTTGCTCCCCGCAGCTGCTGGTGGGAGGGGGCTGTCCTGGCTGCACAGGCCCTGCCACCCCCAGCCTCGGTGAAGCCCACAATGGGGCAGGGGCACGCTGGGGCCCAGACACTTAAATTGGAATTTAGATCTGAGCAAATAATAATATTTTAGCATGGGATGATCAGTTTTGTTTTAGTTTTTTTGGCATAGCTGAGAATGGTTGGGGTTTTTTTTCTTCATTTTTTTTTGGAAAAAAAGGCTCAGAGAAGTAATATAGGATACATTATTTGACCAAAATGAAATACTGTGTTTGGATTAGGCTTTATAATGTTTTTGGGGCAGACTCCGAAGTGAAAGTGTCATCGAAAATTAAAATTTGTATGTTGTGTACAAAATGATAAAATATTCAGTTTTCTAAATTCCTTCCTTATTTATTTTTTGTTTGTTGAAAACAATTTGTCAGACTTGACTTAAATTAATGAATATATTTAGTATGATGATCTGCTCAGTTTAGGTCCAGAATTGCATTTGATGTTTAACAAATTACTGGCAAAACCTCTTCAGAGGCCTGCAGAACATCACTTTTTTTGTTGATGATGCAGCTACTACAGCTATATTTCATGTTACATTTGTCCCATAAGGCTGAGAAAGGCTCAGAGTACACTTACTCGTGATTTCAATCTTGAGCTCAGTACGCAGAAGTGACTGTGCCTGTCTGTTACAGGACTACTGTAAAGGCAGGGCTACTTGCTTATGTTATAGAAGAAGCATTTTTTTTAAATCTCCACCTAGGTTTGCAATCTTTGTTGCATTGCATTTCCAAATGCAAAGGTGGAATTCTCTCCTTGACAGCCTCTCAAGCATTGTTTTTTTAAAAATAGAGTCTTCCAATATGTGATACCTGTAAAGTTGCCCTTGCTAGCTTCCTACCCCTGTAGTAATACATGGCAGAAAAAGTGAAAGTGTGCTGTAAAATTGCTCTTTAGAATGGCAGCTTGATTGTCTGAACAGAAATCAAAAGTTTTAGAACATGAACTGAGGGAAACAAAGGAAACAGAGAAAAACATAGAGTCAGTAGCTACTATAATGCAGTCACAGAGAAATAAGATAATTGACTTAAACTGTCATAGTTTTCCCTTTTTTGATTAGCTATCTGTAGATCAAACAGAAAATATAGATAGAGAGATGGTACTTATGTTGGTTAACAGCAGATGAAGTAATGCACTTTGTGGGAGGGCAGTCACTAGTTCCCTCTCAGTTAAAAGAAACTATTCAGCTTTGTTTAATCCCGCCCTTCTCAAATGTATCAGTTTGCAGAAAAGACTGTGCAAGGGACTTTTCACTGAAGGCTTGTTCCAACAGATGAATAAACATATGCAGAATTATTGTGAAAATGTAGAAATAGAAAGGGTACCAAGACTCCAAAAATGAAAGATAAGTGCTCTTCTTTGCTTTCAGAGGTGTGAAGAATTACAGAGCATTCAGCAGATTGATTTCTGTGAGACTTGGTGTGAACTCCCAAAAAAAAATGGCACTTCATTTGAGTGTGGTTTGCCTTCAAGTAAAAGGCTTCTCCTGAAAAACAAATGCTGTATTGTCAGTGGTCAGGGTGATATGGGGAGGAGGGAGAGTTATGATATAGTTTTGGCTTCATACTAGAACTAAAGATGGTTGTGTTACACATTTCACAAGATAAGTGTTCCAAGAAAGGCAATATTGTGATTTCAAAGGAAAAATATGTATTTGAGATTGGTAGAATGAACAAATTCAAGTGGTCATGCTGAGGAAGCCAAGGGGTGTCAGTAAAAAGACACAGGTTGTGCTCAGTTATCTAAAGGCAATGCTGCTTCTTGCCATAGTCCCTTCAGTAAGAGCCTTCCCAAAGCAGCGAAGGGCTGGAGCGCGTGCTAGCACATGCTAGTGGCACGGATCTGAGAAGAGGTAAATTATGTAGCTACTTAAAGCTCTCGCATCAAGCATGCCCATAAGTAACTGCTAAATAGCAAGCCAAAAGCTTATTTTAACAAATTGCATTATGGAAAAGTCTGGGAGGTTGGAAGTCCTTGTGAGTCCTTGTGTTCGGGCCTATGGATTTACTCAGTAAGCTATTGTCTTCATAAAACAGGAAATGAGAGAGAAGGAAAATACCCATAAACAGAACCGAGCTGCTCAGAACTGAATTGTTCTGATTTCCTGTCTGTAGGGGAATTCAAAGAGTCCTACCACAGGATAAAGGTAGTCCT